GAAACTGAATGACATAGTAATTTTCACATTTACAAATTTATGTAATTTCATCTGTGTTTTCTACTTAGTAAACCTAAGGTTTTGAAATTTTGGAGAAATATACCTCTTTCAAAACCAGAATTTGGGAGGGGGGGTCAAATTTTTTCCTTGATGTCTATAATCATAGTATTGGATGGGGAAAGTCCATATAACACAATTTATTTCAGGGTTTTTTTAGTTATAGCAAGTGTCATTATTATGTTTATTATCTTTTTTGTTTAAAAACAAAATAAAATTAAATAGCAAAATTTGTCCAAGAAAGAAATAGGGATTTCCATTGTCTCCTTGCCAAAGTAACATGTGGTGATATTGATCTGCTTTGTTGAAGGGCCCCAGAGGAAAAGAGGTGTTAAATAACTAAGGGCCTTACTAAGTAAGTAAGTTAAGTAATATGTACTCACTAAATGAAGCCACTCACAAACCCACAAGGATTATTGTTAAAACTTTGAAACATATCTTAAAAAGTCAACATTTCCTTCTTTAGACAGTCTGTTGTAGTAATTTATGATTCGATCGTCTTTCATTACCTATGAAATCAACACAATGGATAGAACTTACAAATAAAAAGGTCTCTGTGTCTCTTACCTGTGTACTTATGTACTTTGTGGAGAACACTTAGAGCAAACAGGACTGTGTTCTGAAAGCCACTAAAGTCACGGATGAAGGGGGCTCTATCCTCATTCATAAGCATGCGTTTTGGCAGCTCCTTCTGGAATTCATATGTTCTAATTAAGGTTGTAGGAAAGAGTGGTGGAGCTAAATAATCCACAAATAAAGCCCAGCTTCTTTCAAAATCAGCTTCTTGTTTAGAATAGTATTTTAATCTAACAGAGAAGTGGGGGAAAGTATACATTTACAGTTAGTCTACCCAGAATTTTGCCAACTCAATTTTCAAAACAGATAATGTGTTCAAAATGACATTTTTGAACTTTTTAGAATATAGAGTAAAGAAACTTGATGTTGATGTTAGCTCTTACACTTGAACACTTGAAAAGATGTTATTAAAATTTTTAATTTGAATATTACCATCTCAGAACATATGTGTTTTTAATCACATGTGTTTCCCTTTTCGTGAAGCATTTACATTACTTACATAAATTCTGATATGTGACCAAGTCTCATTATTTTAAAATATAAAGATAAAAATAACAGAAAATTAGCAAAATTTCTGTTGAATTTAGACATCTCTTAACACAATGTTCATTTCAGGTAACGACTAAAAATGAAGTAACAGGTTTTTTTTTGTTTTGTTTTGTTTTTTTGCTTTTTAAGGAGCTTGGTATATATTTTTTTTTTTCTGATGATCCTAGAAAGCCAACACTTCTTTCTGTTTTTCAGGTATACAATGTAATGACTTGATATATGTGTATATTGTGAAATGATCACCACAGGAAATCTAGTTAACATTTGTTACCATGCAAAGTTACAATTTTTTTTTCTTGTGGTGAAAACTATTAAGATCCACTCCTTAGCAACTTTCAGATAAGCAACGTATTAACTATAATGACTATGCTGTATATTATTACATCCCCATGAACTATGTATAACTGGAAATTTGTACATTTTGTCCTCTGAGACCCCAGAGGAACAATTCCTATTGACTGATTATCTCTGTGTAAGGGGAGGGGGGGCATGCATGCAATAATTTTCCTGATTGTTTGCACATCTGTCTCTTTTTTTTTTTTAAACACTGGACAGTTCACACACTATAAAGTAGACACTCTAAAAATCAGATTCCCACCCTCACCAGGGTTTTTTGTTGTTTGGTTTTCTTGTCATTGTTGTTTACTGTTTTGCATGGACAGATTCTGTTGTTCATTCTGTGTTCTTTGTAGTGAGTCATCACTGAGGTCCCTGCTCATAAGCATCATGGTCAGCTAATGATTAGTTAAAGGTTCCCTTAAGTTCCTTGAACCAATAAATCTTCCACTCTTTGCTGAGGAGCCCTGTGCATGTGTTGGGGTGTATCTTCAATGCTAAGGCTTTACTTCCTATTTGGTCAGGGCCTCAAGGTAGCCAGAGGCAAGATATTAGGGTTCTCTCAGTTCTTGCCTGGGTATGCTCTCAGTTCTATTAATCGTTGTGGGCTCCCAGAAATGTTTGTGGGTCCTGAAAAAGACAAATGATCTGTAGACATAGTAACAAGTAGACACCAAACCATTTTTAGACTGACTTCAATCCATCAACAAACACTCCCTTCAGTGAACAGGTTTTGCAAGTATCCAGTAAGTGACATCTCTTCATTTCTAAAAGTCAGTCAACAAGGAATGGACTCCCTGCATAAACATTTCTCTAATGACAAATGACAGCTGTCTCACCTGCATAACCCTCCTATACTGATGACTCAACTCACTTAAATGCCTAAAAATCTACCCGTTTCTGAACTCTGGTCTTCAAAGACTTCAGTGAAAAAGACAGTGTAAGATGGAAAGATTATTACCATATTGAAACAAAATAACTCTAGATCCACTCTTACCTATTGTGAAAGTTTTTACGAGCAATCTCCAAAGATGAGACATGTGCAGCCCATAAGTACTCCAACAGGTCATCAAAGGTACTAGAATGTGACTTCACGTGCTATCCAGGAAAAAAACAAGTTATTGATATGTGGGCAATTATAACAATCTCTCTTCTTGAAAATCAGTTCTATTTACAAATATAATTTTTCAACACTCTAAATAAGGGGAGAACATTTTTTTCTAAGAGTTAAGGTATGAAAGAAAGATTTAATGCTTAACACTTCCTGAAGAGCTCAATATCAGTTATTTTAATTACTAGTGATACTGAAATCATACGAAAAGAATAAACCATGTGTTTCAGAAATGTTCAGGATTTTACACTGTTCGGAACCAGATCTTTAGTATTTTGTACATTTGTTTTTTTCTTGCCATGCAACAAACTGTCCACAAAGCGTCAAAGCTAATCTTATGCAATATAATGAAGAAGTTCTCTAAAGGGAAACCCAATCTTTAGTCATTTACTCTTTCACCCATGACACTTTGCTTTGGACATCAATATTTGCTTCTGAGTGTCAAATGCTCATTTTAATCAAGTCATATGTGATTTGCTTATCAAGAGAGTTGAAATAAGATGATCAAATTCACCACAACCTATCCCACAATTGCATTTGTATATCAGTTATTGCTCAGTTGTCCTGAAATTATGATGAGCTAGGACACTTCATGCACTGTTAAGCCATAATTTCTCTGGGTTCACCTGTGTGTATATAACTTTAGTATGAAAAGAGTAGATAGGGCAGTCTTGATACCGTATTGGCAGTGAGGATACTATTGAGGTATGATGTCATGCAGCAATCCACTCATACTGATATTGCTGTCACCATAGTATTTTCACATTAGGAACTTTATGCCTTAGGACTGCATTATGCAATGCATAAAAAATCTACATGAAGTGCTATTCAAAAATTATCTGGCTAGCCTTGAAAAGTATTAATTAAAGCACACACACACGCACACAAACACACACACAAAACCTGGTAAAATTCATTCCACTTTTTCATTGCTTCTGGAAAGGATGAATGACAGCTAGAAACATTGTAACAAAAATTCATCTGATCCTTGGGCGGTGGCAGAAAGGTGACTTTGTCTGATGGTATCCCCATTATACCAGAATCAACCGCAGCAAGGAAGGGCATTGCAGAGAGATAATAATTAAGATCTGTATAAACAAACATTTATTAATATGGTTAATATATAAAAGAGGTTGTTTTTGAAGTAAAGAAGTCTCTCATAAAAGTAAACCCACAGATCTAGAAATGTGGTAAAACTTAAGCAGTAATTTTGGGAACTTTGGGAATATTATCAGAAATTTCCCTTAATGTTGGGACACCTGGGTGACTCAGTGAGTTAAGCATCCAACTCTTGATTTTGGCTCAGGTCATGATCTCACAGTTCATGAGTTCAGGCCCCACATAGGACTCTGTGCTGATAGCAGGGAACCTGCTTTGGATTATCTCTCTTTCTCTGCCCCTCCCCTGATCATTCTCTCTCTCTCTCTCTCTCTCTCAAAATAAATAAGTAAACATCAAAACAAAAAGAAATTTTCCTTAGTGTTATATACAACTTGAATATGCTTCTCTTAAAAACCCTGCTCTCATAAAGCAAAATAGATTTATGTTGTACATTTATTATTTTATGTTATTATTTTATTTTACACACACACACAGAAAGAGAGAGTGGGGGAGGAGCAGAGAGAGAGGGAGACACAGAATCTGAAGCAGGCTCCGGTCTCTGAGTTGTCAGCACAGAGCTCGACGTGGGGCTCGAACTCACAAACCGTGAGATCATGACCTGAGCTGAAGTCGGACGCTTAACTGACTGAGCCACCCAGGTGCCCCATACATTTATTATTTTAAATCATGGATAATAATTGCACTGGAATTTAAAATACTAATTAAATTCCAAGGTACAGTAAGTGAAAAATTTAAAAATTAGTAACAGAATTCTATACTTTTCTAAGTTTTTACTCTAAAGCTGAAAATCTGACATAGCTTTAAAATACAATAATATCTATCTAGATATTTCCCTTGTTAACAAGGTTTTATTTCATAATATAACACAAATTTTGCTCCCGCCTTATATGTTTCAATCAAACTTTGAGGTTTCTGGTCTCCCTGATATTTTTATAATTAAGTAAATTAATCAGGAAATTAAAAATATATCTATCTCAAAACCCATTTCAAGACATCCACATTTGAGCCAAACAGACTTTGTTTTGTTTCGTTTTATAAAAGTAGTGATTCTGGGTTTGGTTTTGCTTCTCTGATTGGGATCTTAAGTTGAACTGATTTTTTATGGAAAGGTCATCTATTTGAGGTTTGACAGTCACACTGAACTCACCAGCCCACCAACTGTCCACAGAGATGCACAGATGATCCCCAGATTTACGGCCACAGTCCGTACTTTCCGTGGGATCAGCTAATCTGCCTAAAAGAGACAAAATCCAGAGGTGGTTTTACCAGGACCCCTTCCTAGCTGTAGAGACAAACGCTAACTAGACACACCATGTTTACAGTAATAAAGAATTGTGTCAGCTTTCCTATCACATTGTCTTTCCTTCACTTCATGACTTTCTGCTTCCTATCTCCCATGCATATTTTTTCCTTTTCCTTAACATCCCTACAATGAGCTACTTTCTCTCACAGGCCTTATTTTTTTTTTAACTTCTGTAGTCTGTGTTTTTTCCATTTACTAACTACTCTGCATCTTTGATATTAGGGAGTGAATATTCCTGTATAGTAAGCAAGATCTGGACTCATTTGCTTAAAACCAAATCCTTTTTCATTGCTTACCGACTATTTGACCCTAGGTAAGTAACTTCTGCAAGCCTCAATTTTCTCGTGTATATATTAGAATAACAATAATTACCTCCTAGAAGTCTGGGGTTTTTAAATGAAGGACTTAAAAAGTGCTCAGCTCAGGGGCATCTGGGTGGCTCAGTCTGTTGAGCGTCTGACTCTAGATTTCGGCTCAGATTGTGATGTCACAGTCATGAGTTCAAGCCCCGGGTCGGGCTCTGTACTGACAGTGCAGAGCCTGCTTGGGATTCCCTCTCTCTCTTTCTCCCTCTGCCCCTGACTTGCTGTGCTCTCCCTCAAAACAAATAAACTTTAAAAAAGTTCTCAGCTCAGAGAATATGTGTTTCTGTAAATATTAGCAATTATTCTATTTTTATCTTTTTGTCATCCTCTCTTACCTTCGACTTTCAAAACATGCCTTTCTGGTTTTTTTCACACTTGATATTTTTTACCTTCTGCATATACTTGCATATCCCTGAAGCTGTCTCTGACTCAATGCCCGTCTCTGTCCCTGTTTCAACCAGTTTCACACTGGCTTATTCTCTTTACTCCTGCTAACTTTCTCTTTTCTCTAGTTCTTCTTGACCAGATGAACTTTCAGTGGGCAAAAGGAAAGGTTTGAGTGGTTCTGCTCATTCATGGAAATTTCCCAAAATTGTTAATCTTCTTTTGAACTAGAATAATATTCAAGTATGTGAAACATACCTCTCCTGGTTCTTAGGTTTTGTCTCAGTTGGCAGTTATTTTAAATCTGCTTCCAAGACTCTCTGTCCTTTTAAGACCACTCAGTCTCTGAGGATGGTTGCCCATGAAGCTAATGTGAGGATTTCCTTATGTTGCTGACTTCTTTGTCGTCTACTCTATATACAAAACTGTGCTCCAGTTCCATTTTTGCCAAATCTCCACAAAACTGCTTTATTGGTGATTCCAAGTCACTTCCAACTGAGATACCTGAGAGCATACCTGAGACTGAACCCCTAATCTTGATTGTCAAGGAAGATTGCATCATGAATCTTCTGTTCTTTGTCAGAGGAGTTTCAGGACTCTTCTGGACATCTTCAGTACTTTCTTTACAGCCAAGCTGTGCCTGCTTCCAGATGTTTTATCTTCTGAAGAAATTTTTTTCTTGCCTTTCCATGGCAAGAAATATGTCATCCTCCATAACTTTGACCAAACATTGTTTTTCATCATACCCACTTCTTCCAGAACAAAATTTGTTATATTTATTACTATTCAAATTCAAAATTTTGGAGGGGCGCCTGGGTGGCGCAGTCGGTTAGGCATCCGACTTCAGCCAGGTCACGATCTCGCGGTCCGGGAGTTCGAGCCCCGCGTCAGGCTCTGGGCTGATGGCTCAGAGCCTGGAGCCTGTTTCCGATTCTGTGTCTCCCTCTCTCTCTGCCCCTCCCCCGTTCATGCTCTGTCTCTCTGTCCCAAAAATAAATAAACGTTGAAAAAAAAAATTTAAAAAACAAAATTTTGGAAAATATAGCAAACTGTATTTTCCAACTAGATTTATTTCTGTAGCATACATTATGTATCTCCTATACTCTCAACATTTTCCTCTTTCTCTATTTTTCTCATGTATACAAAACTAATTCCACTAATTCTTGCCCTTTTGCTCTTTCTAGTTCTTTGTCCCTGGATTACTATTTTAAAAGCCCATCAACATTGTACCTTTTTTTCAAGATTCACTTCAAATCTTACTCTATTCCCAGATGATTCCAGCTCACGACATTCACTTTTATCTAACATCTTACGATTCGACTCTTTCTTGTTCTATGGTTGGATCATTTCTAACTCTCCTTCTTAACCATGATGTAACTCCTTCAAGGGAAGGCAATGATATCTACTGTCATTTTCTCGTGTATGTGCCAGTCTTCCCTTTTTTCATTTCAGTGTCGCCTCGTCACTTCTTTATCCTCCCTCAGACTTCCAGTATTCTCTCCCCAATTCAAACATTATTCTGATTAAAATTGCAGCTAACCAATAAAAATGAATGAATGCTGACATATGAAACTAGTCAGATGAATTTCAAAATAATCATGACAATTGAAATAAACCAGACCAAAAAAAGAGCACCCAACTGTCTATATGAAAATTCTAGATAATTCTATCTAATCTGTAATGATGGAAAGCACATCAGTGGTTACTGGTGAAGTTTGGGAGTGGGGGGATGAGTAGTTGGAGGAATGGGGAAGGCTGGGAGAGACTGGGTAAAGAGAAGTTCCTGAAGATGAGAATACGAAAGGGAAAAGAACATTTTTGGAATGACACATATGGTCATTATCTGTGGTGATGGGCTCAAAGCTATATACCTATACCAAACTTACCAAAAAATACATCTTACATATGCTGTTTATTCTATGTTTATTACATATTAATAAAACTATATTTAAAAAAAACATGTGCTAAGCAATCTAGAAGCAAACATTTAACATATTCAAGTATTTTGTAAGCATTAGGCTCTTGTTACTAAACTAATCCATATTGCTTAAGAGCCCAATTAAAATTCCCCAGTCTGACCTAAAGACGTCTCTTTAACTAACCTTGGTTCATCTTCTCAAATAAACCACCCACTACTCTTTCACATTCCAGTTCTTCTGCCTATGTGGTAGTCTTCTTCCAGTGAAACCTGCTATCAGTGCCATCTTTGTAATTAGTATACCAGCAGTTATATTCTCGCAATGCCTCCATCAAGCTCTTTGGTCCTAATTTCTTCCCATGATATTCTCAGCCCATGGTTGTCACTGTCTTTCCTGAGCTACTCTTGTACTTACAGTCCTTATCATGTCTTTGAGACTTAGCATACTGTGGGTGAAATATTTTTATGGGCTATTTCATAATTGGTAATTCTGTTTTGGTTTTCTCTAGTCGTATCGTAGAATTCAACTCAAATACATAAATCAGCCCTTAAAAAAAACAGTAGAATCCCATGTATTGTATTCATGAATGAAAGTGATATTTTGAAAATACCTTATCCAATATTTTACTTTACTGTTTGTTCATTACTGGGCCCAGAGCTGAAGATTTTTGTAGGAGTAAGTGTGTGCACCCCTTGGGGGAGTTGATTATTGTTTACAGAGGATCTTATGTTTTTGCTTCTCCAGAACCATGTCTCAGGAGTTCATATATTCTTCTTTTCCATGCCAAGGGCAGCCCAAGAATGGGAATTATACTGGATGTCAGGAGATTCTCCCAACGAACTTGGATGTGATGCCAATTCAGACTGTCATCACAGATCAGACTTTGCAGTCTCTTTCTCTGTCTTTTCTATAATGCCACCCATCTTCTCACTGATTCCTTTCTTCCAATAGTGTTTTCTAGAAGTTGATAGTGAAGGTCTCTTCCCATTGAACAAGATGGCTTGGGGCTTATGATATTTTTTTTTTTAAACTTTTTTTTTTTTAATGTTTATTTATTTTTGAGAGAGAGAGACAGAGCATGAACGGGGGAGGGTCGAGAAGAGGGAAAGGAAGAACTAGAGGCTCCAGGCTCCAGGCTGCAACTGTCAGCACAGAGCCCGACGCGGGGCTGGAACTCACGGACCGTGAGATCATGACCTGAGCCAAAGTCGGACGCTTAACCAACTGAGCCACCCAGGTGCCCCTGATATTTTTGTTCCAAAACAAATATCTACATTTATTCCTCAGTAGAGATGCTATTTTCAGGTTTTCCTACAGAGGTTTTGTTTTTTTCTCTTTTGTCACTCCAATCTCTATGACTATAGTCTAATCATATTTAGAATTATAGATAATGCAAATTAATCTTCTACACCCATGTGTAGTTAATGCATATCACCTTAGCTGTTTTGTTGTTGGATGTACTCTTCAGTGCTTAGAACTAGGCTTGGTCCCAGTAGCACATCAATTAATAGTTATTGATATTGACTGAACTAAGCCTAATATGCTGTGCTTCGGTGAGTGTGGTAATCACTAGCCACTTGTAGCTCTTCAAGTTAAATTAATTAAAATTAAACAAAATCAAGAATTCAGTTCTTCAGAAATATTAGCCATTTCAAGTGCTTAGTAGCTTCATGTAAGAATATAAGAGCTGCTGCTCTCATAGAGAACAGTGCAAATAGAAACATTTCATCATTGTACACAATTCTTTTGGACATTTCTGGCTAGCAAAAACCATGCATGTAGGGGACATTCCATAAATACTTGATAGAGATTGGGCAAGAACGCAAATGGCTGGAAAAGGAATAGAAAGGAAAGAGAAAAAAATCAATTTTCACAAAGATGGTGCTAAATGTACAAGGTACTACTTCCTAATTAATTCACACTTAAATCAAAGGTCATTGTAATGTAGTCATTGTAATGAAAAAGAGACATTCTTACCTGTCTGATATTGCCATCCATGATGTACAGGCAATCCCCATAAAATATTTTGTTCATTTTCTGGTGAAAACTTTGCAAAATATTTGGCTGTCTTGTTCAGTAGGATTTTGTACGTCCCCAATCTCTCAGGATAATGCCAGAAGTTAATGATATACTTTCCATTTTCCATCTTATAGTCACTGAACTGACCAGGACTCTCTTTCCACAGAGGGGGATATACATCTGAGATATTGGATGCTCTTGCTAAAGAAGCAAAAATACAACCAACGATTAGATAAGGCCAGGAAAGATCCAAAGCCATGGTGTTTGGCCCCGAGATTGAGATTATGACAGGACCTTTGTTGGGAAATGGAGGAAGAAGCTACATTGTTTTTCTGCACCTCATCTAATCAACACCTTCCACTGCCTTTCTTGGTAATGAGAAGGTGGAGGTAAACAAATGTCTTACCAAAGATAGTAGGCTACCTCCCTTGTTAATCATCTCAAAATTGTTGATTATGTATCAGTCTCTAGAATTTTTAGTAAGACTGGGTTCATCCTAAATTTATTTTTGTCTCTATCTTCTGTCTGTCTCTCATATTAATTATAATAATAAATTGTATGTCTTTCCCAGAGTTACTTGATTTTTTTTTAATTTTTATTTTTTAGAGAGTGTGTGGGTGGGGGAGAGGGGCAAAAGAGAAAAAGAATCTTAAGCAGGCTTCGTGCTCACTGTGGAGCCCAATGCAGAGCTCTATCCCATGACTCTGGGATCATAACCTGACACGAAATCAAGTCAGCTGCTCAACTGATTGAGCCACCTAAGCGCCTCTAGAGTTATTTCAATTTTAAAGAACGGCTGTTTATCCAATTTTATCTCTAGTTAGTGGGATTTCAGCCACATAAATAAACAGTTAAGTAAACAATTTTAGATAGAATTTGTAAGACATTTTAGTGATATTTGGGACTTTACCAAATTTCTTTGAAATTTTAGTTCAAGTGCAAGTCCAGACTTGTATGTCAGACATATCAACCCAAATTCCATGCTACCAGGATCTGAGCCAAAAACTTGTGTGCAGGCAGTTGCTTTGTGGTTACAGAGTAAAAGAAAAAGAGGGAGAAAAAAAAAAGAAAGGAGGAAAGTGAATACAAGGAGAGACTATCAGTTTGCTTCCACTAAGGGTGTGGGTGCTTAATGTTTTCTTGGGACTAAGGAGGAACACTCCTATGAAAGAGCCCCTGGCCTTGAGGGATGGAATTAAGCATTTGCTCTTATCGTTCACTGGCCAAAGGCGACCCAAAATGTAGAAACTCTGCTGCACTTCTGGTTGCACAGACCTGTGTGCTAAGTTTGTTGTTATTGCTGTTGTTTTTGTTTTGGTTGCACTTTCTTTCCAGATAAGGAAACAGGTTAAGTAGCTCAAAAAGCTGATGGGGCGCTTTAAGTGAGCTGCAAACTATACGTGTGTTATTCTGCTCCACCTTGAGGGTAATATGTCTTCTTACTGGTTTGGAGACACATTCTTTGCATGCCACCAATCGCAGGCTTCCTCTTTGCCCTGAACTCAGCTGCTCCAAGGATTAGAGGTGAGGCCAAAGTCTCCCTATCCCTAATAGAATGGAAGGCCCTACATATGCTGAAGAACTCCAAAGGCAGGGAGAGATTGAACTCTTCAAAGCTCTCTTGGATACAGGGACCCAAATCACCAACTTTCTCAGTCCCATATGAAAAAGGGATGCTGAGTAGAGGTGGTAAAGCCATGACTCTAGAGTAGAAACCACTGTACCATGTGAGGGAGTAGAAATAAAGAGCATCTGAGCCAGAGCACTTTCTAGACACTGAGAAAGACACAAATGAAGCACCAACGAGGAAAAAAATCTTCTCCAGCAGCTCCAGCCATCACCTCTAGTCTAACCAACCTGCCACTTTCTGCTTCCCTAACTCTCAGGTAGGAAGCGACACAGTGTGCCGGAAGAGCAATTGGATCCCTGATATCCTGAATTGAACTGATAACAGATCAGTTTATAAGAAACTTTTTTTATTAGAAAACCATTCCTAAGCCACACACCTAAGTTGAAAGGCGTTTATTGAACAGTAACTTTTATTGTAGGTGCTGTATTAGCCCTGGCCTGCCGTGGTGAACAAAGTACAAAGATGCCTGTCTTTGAGATGTTGTTGGTTCACAACCCTCTCAGGAGCTTCCTAGATGTCACCTGAAACATATGAGGAGGGCAGGGAAAGACTGAAGAAAGAGGCAGACCACTCCAGGTTGGTAGATGGCAGCCTTCCTAAATAAAGGAACCGTACATAGGAGGCTTGTTTTGGACAGCAGCAAGATGAATGTATCCTGCATCTGTCTGCCAAATCTTAAAAGTTTCTAAAAAGGCCTTAACTGTATTTAGTCACATATACAATGTAGATGTTTTCAACACCGCATCCCTATCCTTGTAGGTTTCAGATGGATAGGGATAGGGATAGGAAAGACAAGCAGAACCCACATTCCAAGGACAGAGGTTGGGGGGGGGGGCGGGGAGGAGCCTCTGAAGACCAGGATCCAGCTCATAGGTCAACTGGCATCTTTTTGATGTCTTTCCCCAACAGATGTTCAACAAAGGATTTTTGTAAAAAGGTAATCTCCGAAAAAAGAAAGTAATTTGATTTGTGACAGATGAACTTTACCTTCAATTTCATTTTTCAATTTTTATTGATGTATAATTGACAAAATTTGTATATATTTAAGATACATAATGTGATGCTTTGAGATGTATATACATAATAAAATGATTACTACAGTCAAGCTAATAGTCCTTCCATTATCTCACATAGTTACCATTTTGTGTGTGCATGTGTGTGTGTGTGTGTGTGTGTGTGTGTGTGTTGTGAGAATACTTAAGTTCTACTCTCTTAGCAGTTTCAAATATGAAATACAGTACTATTCACCATACTTGCTATGTTGTACATTAGATCCCCAGAACTTATTCATCTTATAACTGAAAGTTTGTGCACTTTGACCAGTATCTCCCCACAGCCCCCAGTCTTTAGTCCCTCACAACCACCATCCTACTGAGCTTATGTGAGTTCAACTTTTTTAGATTTCACATGTAAGTGAGATCATGCAATATTTGCCTTACCTATGTCTGGCTTATTTCACTTTGTATGATGTCCTCCAGGTTTTTCTATGTTGTCACAAGTGGTAGATTCCCTTCTTTTATATAGCCAAGTGATATCCCATTGATGAGTTCTTATAATTTATATTTTATTACATGGAAGAGAACTAAGTGCATATGCAATGCTGGGAGACTCCAAAGGAGGAGGAAACATCTTAATATCTGAGACTCCTAACAGTGGAGTAAGAAGGGTTGCACATAATTTATTAGGTCAGAAAAATGTTTTTTCAATTATGATATATTTAATAGTATTATCTTAGTCTTTTAGGCAATATTGGTATTACTGATCTTAAGAGCCAGGTTGGAGTTTTAAACAGCTTTGACTTCATGAATCCAGATGAACTGGAAAATTTAAACATTTTATTTCTTCTGGAAGAGGGGCATTAATTTATTTTTTCATTTTTTTTAACTATACATTTACTGAATATCAACTAAGTGCAATATATTATGGAGAATGAACATTTTAAACGAATCAGATATTATTTATTTTCAGGGGAAAGTTTTGAGAAAATTATGAATAAAGAGTTATAGAAGTTCAGAAAAGGGAGTGATATCTGTAGGTTTCAGATAGAACTGGAGTCATCAAATAAGAGAAGATTTTTAAAGAGGAGATGGTATATGAGTTGGAATTTATACATGAGTTCAACGAACAATGAAGGGTCTGTTTTCTGATTCAGAGGCATCTTGATTCCAGTCAGAAACTGTATATACATGAAATAATGGAACACACAATTAAACACATATATACATGAAATAATCCTTGGAGACACTCATCGCTTTATTTTTATTTACATGTATAGCTTTATTTTAAAAACATAGCTTCTCTTTTCCATGTAACTTGTTCAACTTTGGTAAGACGTGCTCCAGAAACAGTTAAAAATAGATTGTTGTAAGAACAAAGTGATATGCATAGTGGGAGGGAGAATATATTTGTATGTTCTCAGTTGAGTTTTAGCCATATATTGGAGCTAGGTATGATACCAGTTCAAATTTCTGTTTTTCCATAAATCTTTTGTGACACATCATATTGCTGTGTATACAACAGGACTTCATTTGATGTATTTGATTGCACTTGTTGTTAGTAAATGAGGATGTATTCTGGATATATTGTAAGTAAGCCAGTAGAAGAAGAAAGAACCCAATAACTTTTAATTTTCAGTTCTAAATTAATTGTTCTGCACAGAATGGCCGTGTCTCAACATTTTTAGTGCCCTTCATAGTTATTCATTTTCCTGAGTATATGTCAGTTTCACAGTTCTTAAAATGAAACTTGATGTCTGTTTGTGGTCCTTGTATTGGGTAAAGACATAAGCCTAGAAAAATTTGGTTACCAATTGTTAACTGCTTATTATTTATGCAGAATTTTAATATAAACTGGCAATTAAGTCAGTTCAAAGTTTGTTTAACTGCCAATATTTTTCTTGGTTAACTATCAATAAGCATCTAATAAATATTTTTTAATCACATACTTTTGTCAAATCCAATATAATTCATTCTGCTGAAATATCTTCATTTACCTGAAGTTAGTTCTTTGTATAAAGGTATGACTTAGTGATAGAGATTTATGCTAACACTGAAACAGAAGTAGCCAAAGAATTATTTAAGGACAGACATCACCATAATCTTTCAGGACAGGAAGTGGTTTACTCCATCACAGACACCAGGCACAAAACTAGGATCCCTTCACTTTGGTTATATCTCTGTTGTAAAAGCTGAATAAAGATAATATAAACTGTAATTAACCTGCTTGTAATGATCCAGTCTTCCATTAGAGGTGTGTGCAAGTGTGTTTGTGTGTGCATGTGTGGGTGTTAGCATTTTGATATGCTTCTAGGTTCATTTTTAAAAAAATATTTATTTTTTATGGAAAAGAAAGAGAGAGAGCATGGGAAAGGGGCAGAGAGGGAGACAGAAGCAGGCTCCACTCTGTCAGTGCAGAGTCTAAGGGCTGGAACTCACAACCTGTGAGGTCATGACCTGGGCGGAGAGTAAGATAGGACGTTTAACCAACTGAGCCACAGAGGCACCCCTAGGTTCATTTGTTTATGTTAAGATTCAATTTTGATTTTTAATCTATATTCATTTTATTTTATTTATAATTTAAATTGTTAACACTTTAAATGCCAAAACAATGTAAGAAACTACACTCGAAAT